AAATTAAGAGGGCCAAGCTCTACCAAAAAAAAAAAAAAAAAAAGCCAAAAGTTCAGACCAAAAAATCCCACCAATTGCAGACCATCCATGGAAAGCTCTGCTGCACAAGAATCCTTATATATATAGCCTGCCTCCTGCACAGCTCTGTTTTGCTTTTTGCCCAAGCTGAGGCAGCCTCCCTCTTGTATCTTTTCCAATAAATCTCTTGTGTGAGGTGTTGTTTCTCTGTGGTACTCCTTGGCTCCTGATTGCCAGGATACCTTTCCCCTCAGAGCAGCCACACTTGTATTAGGGAAACCTTTCTCCTCAGAGCTGTAACACTTACATTGTACATTAGGCGCTTATGGTCCACAAAGTGCTGTTCTTTGAAGAGCACTGCACCAGACTTCCACTACCTAAAGAACCAGGTTTGTTACTGAGCTGGATATCAAATTCTATAATGGGAATCTTGGTTACACTTTGACACACCAGATGTCTCACTTAACTAAATGAGGATTTCTCAGGGCAGCTGCCTCATTCATATTTAGTCAAAATGAGCCCATTGAGTACACTCCTTAAGTAGTATGTGAGAAAACAGACTGCATAGCAACCATTAACAAAATGAACATGGGTTTTGTAAGCTCTGCTCGTTGAGTAATAGATTAAAATGAACTGTGTTCTGTTGAGGATGCCTTATGACCATTAGAAATTATCTTTCCAAATTCTTGTAACTACTTTCAAATACCCTAAAATCAATGACTTTAAAAAAATTCAGCTAACCTGAATGGCTAGAACACTGTGGGAGTATTTCACAATGCAGCTGTAAATTCTTTCCCTTCTACATGAATCCACAATATGTCTACCCCATAAAAAGAACTTAAAATCATTCTGAAAATACTCAAATTAGAACACTCATACTAACTAGTTAAAAATTAAAGCAAAACATAGCAAGCAGTCAATGTATCTTCCTAGTTCAATATTAGCACTCCAAACTTGCTTCCTGGAACTGATATGAAGAGTTCAAGTTCAAAATCCATTTACCACATGGATGGCAAGCTTTGTCTCTATCTACTTAATTGTGTATATAGGCAAAGGAGTGATGGCAGTGATGATCACCAGTCTTATTTATGCTATGTCATAATGTTTTTTTTTTTTAGTTCTGTAACTATTTTATAGAGAGACATCAATGGTTTGATTTAGGATATAAAAAAATAGGTTTCTCAATTGAAGATTTAGAAGAATGCCCTTTTCATGATTAGGAAAATCTTTTATTTCTGGTTGTTAAAATTAAGAAGCAAAACCAAACACATTAAAAACCAAACCAAAAAAAAAAAAAAAAAAAAAAAAAAACAAAACCAGGCATGGTGGTTTATAACTGCACTGGAATACTGTAGAGTTGCAGCCTAACCTATCCTACAGAGAAAGAGATAAGGGAAGAGGTAGGGGAAGTAGATACAGAGATAGATAGAGATAAAATGAGAAACAGAGACTAGGCTAGAGATAGAAATATGTAGACAGAGACAGAAAGAAAATATAGTTTTAACCTGCTAAATATTTATATATTTTACTTTTTTCATATACCATCATACATGCCAATGTTTACTAAACTCTATGCATTTAGTCTTTGTCATTAATGTAGCAAAGTTAAGTGAACAATGTTATTGGAAGGCAAAGTTAAGTGAACAATGGTATTGGAAGGATGACAATGATGTCATAGACAGACATATTTTAGACAGACATAAAGCAACGGTAGAAGAGAAATAAGGAGGCAAAACTGACTGAGAATTAGCAACATTTTGTTTGCAGTGAAGTAAAAACTCAGCACTACTTGAAAGAATGAAATCAGTTTCCAAGTGCATAATTCTCATGGACAAAGAAATAACCCAAAAAATGCTAATCAAACCTAGGAAACAATTATATACCACTATTAAGTGGGATTTGCACAGGTATGCAGAATATATTAATGTAATCTATTGTATGATTAGACCAAAAAACACCTAATCCTGGTAACATAAAGGAAAAGCATTTAAGAAAATGAAACATGAACTCATGAAAAATGTTCTCAGCCAATATATGCAAAAATGGACATCCGCAGTGGGATAAAATGCATTCAAAGCTAAGCTGATATCATATTTGGTTGTGAGCAAACTATGACTTCCCATTAGAATCAGGAGCATGGAAGGTGACCCCTTTTACTCCTCTTCTTTTCAATGCTGTGCTGGCTGTTCCCAATAAGACAACCACAGAAGAAAAGGACATAAAAACAGACACATCAAGAAAGGCGTAAACTTTTGTTTACAGATAAGATGTTCAAAGATGGGAGAAAATCTGAGATTAAGAAAATTATCTTGAGACTAATATATGTATATATCAATGAAGCAAGAGACAAAGTTAACATAGAAAAATCAACTGTTTGAGCAATAAACAAGTAAAATTCCCAGTTAAAAACACACTACCATTTGTACTAGCCATCTTTAAAGTGAAGTACATATAAAATACTAAAATATGTATAAGATTTATGTGAGAAAATATAATTTCTGAAAAACAAACACATTAGGAAACAAATAAATGGGAAACTAGCCTATGTTCACAGATGAGTCAATACTGTCAAGCTGTTATTTATTCCTGATCTGATAAACAGATTTCATGACATCTCCTCAAATTCCAAGGTATCCATGGATATCAACAAGATGATTTCACAGTTCACATCATAAGGAAACACAGTACTGAAGAAGAAAAGCAGAGGACTGGGACTTTCCAACTCCAGTTATCACTCCACAGTTACAGAAATTAAGACAATGTGTTGTTGAGCAAAGACTAGACAGCAGCTGAATTGAACCTCAGTCTAGAAACATATGAACCATTCCCAGGTGAATTGCCAATTCATCCTTGAAAAGGAGAAAAGGCAACATGATAGGCTTTTCATTCCCTGGTTGTGGAACAACTGGGAATGTACATGTGAAAAAGAATCTTGACACAGTGCTCATATACATTCATAAGATTAATTCAAAGTAGGTAAAAAAAAAAAAGTAGAAAGTGTAAAACTATGTAAATCCTAGAAGACAGCACAGGAGGAAGCCTGGTGATCATGGATGATGCCACGTTGGAAACCCCACCAAAGGCACGACCAATAAAAGAAAAACTAATCATCTAGATTTTATTAAAACTCAAAATTTGAGGTTCATGAAAGTTGATGCCAGCACAATGCAAAGATGAGCATCTTAACTAGGAGAAAGTATCTGTGAAAGATACATTTGATAAAGAAAGGACTATCTGTCAAAATATACAAAGAGCTCTGAAAACACAAAATCATGAAATTATAAAACTGTTTTTAAACATGATCAGTAACATGGAACTAAAACACACCACCTTTTTACTTGTAAAAGGTCATCTTCTATGGAAAACAAATTACTTTGAGAGGAATGCAAGTGATCAACAGCTTGGGACCATCAAGCTGTGTGAGGGAAGGTCTAGGAACATCCTATGGAGACTCACCCTAGAAAACAACCATGATGGCATCATCCCTGCAGATATGACACAAGATCAATGAATGGGATAAGAGACTTTATGAGTAAGTTTTAATTTAAAGGTTGATAGTGGAGCCTGTTTGGATTGCCTCTCTCTAATCCTATCCAATTCTTTGCTTCCTTCAGATCAGTTTAAAAGCTGCTTCTATGGGAAGCTTTCTCCAGTCATCCCTGAAAAGGCCACAACGTCTCTTGGATCACACAGCTTTACTTCTTCATGGAGTATATCACATCATACCTCTGTAGTTAACTCATCACTGTGTCTCATCTTAGCCATCAACATCACAGGCTCATGTCTATTTCATCCATTATGGCATCCATAGCTCCAGACACAATGGTTGGCCCATACAAAGATAGTAGGGGCTCACAAGAACTCATTCTTCTAATATCTACCTTAAGTTTAACAGTATCATCGATGAAGGAGACTTTTTGTCATTACTAGCCCAAAATTGAGGATAAGGGAGTGACTGTAAATACTGATTACAACTAGGAGCTGCATGTAATGCTTGAGGATTTCAAACATTATCTTATTTAAACCACCCAGCTCTGAGCTGGGGAAAGCTGGTGTTTTCTTGGCACACTGATGGATGAGAGTAGATCCAGGATTTGAACTCAGGCTCTAGATCAAAGTGAACGTTTTCTTTCCACTTGATAATTCCTTCACTCTGCACTGTTCCCTCTCTACAGAGGCATGCAGCCAGCCTGTCTCTATACCAGTCATGCTGACTTTATTAGCCATCCTGGAACATCTGCTACTACACAGCTGGAACGATTAAACTGCCTGCCATACATTTTAACAAACTCTAAATTTCTTATAACATTTAAGTAAAACTTGATGGAACTCAGGTATTGACTCAGATTTCACAAAAAGAACTTTCTCCAATCATCATTTTGAATTTACTTCGAAAATCGATGTTGCATCATAGCCTAACCCCTGCAAAAAGAAACCAGATTCCATAGTCGGAATAGGATGAATGCACATTGCAGCTCTCTCCCTAGGACGAAGCTAAGAAGGCTTCTCTTTATGGTTTTATTGACCTGATTTATGGTTCTAACTAGCATCTGGTTCCCCCATACTCTTTGTCAAATATGCTATCCCAGATGAAACTGCATGGTGTAAAACTTCCAGCTCCCCAAACTTATAAAAGCCAGATACTACCCTTTGTTCTGGGGGCGACTCTGAAAGCTTCTCTGTTCTCTTCAAACCTTTCCTCTCATGGTGACTTTATCTTTCTTCTCGCTGTGACTGGCTAGCCTCATACTCACTATTGTGAATGAGCCTTAAAAGAACTCACAGAAATCTATCTCCCTAGACTATCCCTCTAGAGCACTGGGGTTAAAGGTGTGTACCTGACTAAACTATCTCTAAATGAAGCTCCTCTCAGTTTTAAGAGGAAGTTACTCTTTTCCTTTAAGGTACAGGTTATGTTGCTTTAATGGCATTGTTCCCTTCTAACCATTACTATCCCACTCAAGGCTCAATCTTGGTCTCCAGGCTTTTCTCCTAACACATGTTATTTCTGAATGGCTGTGTCAACTCCTTTCCCAAGGCCACAATGGCTGCTCTTTTTTTCATTTTATATTTAATGATGGAGTCATATGGCATTGACACTGATACTTTACTAGACAATTACCTTCAGAAGTCCAGGCTATGCTCCAAAGAGATGCATAAAGCACACTGCTAAACAAAACCACCATGAGGGCTTTGTCACGAGCACAGCCATATTTTAACCCTATCTTTTTGTTTAGAGGATTACAATTACCTTTAATGTTTAGAATGTATCCAAAATATCAATGTCTCTTACTGTGGACAAAAAAAAAATCGCTCACAGAGCTCATCATTGTGACTTCTCTGCCTTCTCAGTTGTCAAAAATGAAGTTTTGAAAACGAAGAGGACAATGGATGCTTTAGAGGGCTTATAGCTCCTCAAGCACCATTTTAAAGAATGAAAATTAGGTGACATCACAGAATCATTTTCTTAGCCTTCAGCAAAACTGTAACGAGTGCCATCAAATAGAACTGTATGTCCTTCTATATATAAAAGTAGAAACCTCATAATTTATCTAAAATTTTGTTTATAATCAAAATTTACCACCACTTTCAAGATAACAATTCTCTTTTTAGTATCGCTAACTTACACCTTCATATTCTTGCTTTTTCTTGTTCATAAGTGGGAATGAAAATTAGTGATAATTCCATACTCTCTATCTTCAAAAATTAATAGAAACAGTATTAATATTTTTAATTTTACCATTTCACAGATCCCCTCAAGTCCAGGTCACTTGGGTTACTCAAGAGCTTCCTAAGTGGTCTATGAGCTTCTGTCCTGTTTTCAGAATGGTATATCTAACACAGAAGCCAGAGACATTTTTGGATATGTAAACCAAATCCTGTTGTTCACTTGGCAAACAGGAGCATGGAGATATCAATAGTAGGAACCCCTACATGGTCCATCTCCTATTTGATCTCATATTCTATTCTCTTCACTTGCTCTACCATAGCCAAGAAAGGGTGGCTTGCTGCTCTGAGAACATGTCCCACATTCCTCTACCTGAGAGGTAAAGAAGTCTAACACACCCTTCTCCCATCCCAATCAATCAATTCTCTCTCTCTCTCTCTCTCTCTCTCTCTCTCTCTCTCTCTGTCCCTTCAGAGACCTGTGTTCTTAGACTAGAGGCCTCCCCGTCCTATGAAGACCACCCTTTACTCTGCTCCTTAATCTTTACATTCTGATCAACTTTATTATTACTTTTAACAACACCAAATTAATCTGTTTTTCTGACCTGTCATTTTCTTTCCTCACTTCAATTTATAACCTACAGAAGAAGAAACCATCTGCTCAGCACTCATTTGAACTTGATACTCAGAACAGTGCTGGCAAGAAGTAAGCATTCAAATGATGTTTTTGATGAGACAAATGAAGAATTACCATTATTTCCTCAAACCAAGGATTTGAAGTGGGCACTTATTGAGTCTCTCATATTAGCCAATGAGAGGGAGAAGAACATCTCCCATCTCTGACTACACTTATCTCTTGTAAAAAACAGGAGGCACACAAAACTGTTTTAAAAAATAAGCTGAAGATTTCTTGGACTGGTAGACATTTTCTTAAACATTTATGACAAGAAGAATGGTGGTAATTTGCAAAAATTTAAAGACATGAACATTAATCTATGGGTTCACTACGCAACAAGTACTGTCATCCAAGTGTGACTTCTAAAATGCAGCCTCTGTTATCACTAATGTTGGAAAATGGCTAAGTCAAAGAAAACCTTTCAGTTTTTCAACTCATGTAACAATATGCAAACGAAAAGACAGTATCTGCTACCAGAAACACTCTACACACACATGTTACTCACTTGCAATCAGGGGCTCCTCTTCTGATGGTTTGAAGAAAAAGGAAACTTTCTCCAAATCAAATAGAGCAACCAGTGTATCCTCTAGCATGGCTTGTTCATCTTTCTACAATTAAGAGAAAGGATCTATAAGATGGCTGGACAATGTGCTGTCAGAACCCATGGTGCAATGTAAATCCAAAGTAGAATCACTTCACTGGCTTTATTTCATAGAAAATGCTAGTGCCAACCCATCCCTGAGAACTCCCTGTCCAAAATGAAATCAAGAAGTCCTACAGAGAGACATGTTCCTTGTATGGTTTCATAGTTTTCTGATTTTGTATTTTTTTAATATTTAAATGATAATACACAAATTTTCAGTCTAGCTTGTAGGTAGAATCTAATTATAATGATCTCATTTAAAAATAATCTGTTTTTGGTCTTTTACTTCTAAAGGCTCACAAAGTTACAGGTGAGAAGCAAAACAAAATTTTATTATTAAGTTAAGAGCTACATTAAATCATAGCCATCGTGTTTTATAATAATTTATTCATTGTTCAATTACTGCTTATTAGAAGAGCGATAAAAGCAATTTCCTTGTGTAGATATATTTGTGTCCCAAAGAGCGTACACACAAACATCATGCTCACCTTACTAGCTTTGTGAGGTCCTTAGTCTAGAATATAAATAAGCAATTCAATTTATTTCAACCACTTGTCTCATTTCTATAATGAAATTTCCTGTCATAAAATAAAAATTCTTTAAAAGTATTTTCCATACACTCATCCTGTTTCAGCGTATAGTAAGCTTGAGAAACTTGTTGAGGTGTGTGAAGAATGTTGAACTTGTTTGAAAGGATAATTCATGTTATTAAGAAAACAAGTATTGGGGCTGGGGAGATGGCTCAGTAGTAAAGAGCACTGGCTGCTCTTCCAGTGGACCCAGGTTTAATTCCCACATGGCAGCTCACAACTGTCTGTAACTCCAGTTACAAAGGATCCAACACCCTCACACAGACATGCAGGTAAAACACCAATGCACATAAAATAAATCATTTTGAAAAAAGTAAAACAAATGTTATATTAAGAGATAACTTCTATGTGTAAGGATAACTGTGTCATTATTATGAGCCTAAGTACTCTGTAGAGAATGTAGCAGTAACTGCTAATAAGGCCAAAGGTAAACACTAGAAAGATGATGTCACTGAGATATGCACACAAGTGTGTTCGTTTGTATAAACCCATGGAGGCTAGAGGCAGATGCCACATGTTCACCCCTGCCACTCTTCATCTCTGAGACAAGGTCTCTTATTGAAACTGACACAAGACCAACTAGCAAGTTCTAGGTTCCCTCCTTCCTGTCTCTCCCTACTACAGAATCTACAGAATTAAGAGTTACAGGATACAAGGAGGCAAGAAAAGTTTTGTTGTTGTTGTTTGATTGATTCTTTTTATATGAAACATGGGTGCAGAGGATTCCAACTCAGATTCTCAGGCACACACAGCAAGAGCTCTTACCCATTGAGCTACATCCCCAGCCTCCTAAACTCCTTTTGAAGCAGTAGGAAAGTACCTACTAGCTCGAAGTTTATGGCAGAACTGAAAAAAAATCACCATTTTTCTGATGCCAAGGAGAAATATTACAGACATCTCAGTTTCTGAACACTGCAGTGTGAGCCATGTTGCTTCAGTGGCTGTGACAGAACTAGATAGCAGCTGGCTATGCCTAGAACTCCAGGAAGCACAGTCCTGGGTGAGTGCAACTTTCAGAGATACACAGTTACCTGTAAGCTTGTTGTTGGTTTACTTATTGGTTATAATTTAATTACAACATTCCTTTTTTCCTTTTTCTTCCTCTAGACATTCCCATGTACCCAACCCACTCACTTTCAAATTCATGTCTTCTTTATTCAGTAATTACTATTATTGCATGCAAATATATATACATATATATTCCTAACTATAAACTGACTGGTCTCTATGATGGTATTTGTATGTACATTTTCAGGGCTTTGTGTTCTCAACACAGAGGTTTCCTTGAATTTTTTTCCAGTATACTCTGACTGAAAAATCAGTTACTAAAATAAATTTTAAGGTTTCACAAGGCCAGTTTTTAAAGAAGAGTACAGTTTCATTGCAATATATAACTCACAGAATATGGAATTCAATCAGGCAAAATACACAGCTCAGAATCTTCAATGTATGTGGAGCTGAGACACTCCTGTCATCATCAAATTATAAAATATTTCCATTACCTCCCAAGGAAACCAAGCGTCATTAAGCATTCTCCTGTGGATATCTACCTGAGATAGTAGTTCCAGGCAATCACATGTCTACTTTGATCTCTGAAATTTATCCACTAAGCAGGATTCCTCACAATGGAAGCAAACTGTGCTCTCTGTTGTCAGGCTAGTTTCCTTAACACTGGGCTTTCAGGATTTATGTGCAATCTAGCATTCATCAGTACTACAAATTGTCTATGCCTGAATAAGATTTTATTATAGGAGACACAGCTCTTAACTTATCCAGTCACCCACCAACAAACACCTGAGTTGCTAACAATCTTCATGTATTTTTAAAGCATTGATATGACTACTTGTCACAAGTTTTTAATTGGATAGAAGTTTAGGTTTCTGTTGGGTATTAACCTAAGGACTAGAATTTCAAGAATATGAAACTATGTATAATGTCCTAAAGAAGTTGCAAGCTATTTTCTAAAGGCATTGCATTACTTTACATTCCTATGACTCAGTTCTGAGACTTACAATGTCTATAGCTCCTCACCAACACTTGTTATTGGAGAGGGCTCTTTCTCTGTGCTTTGAGTTCCATTTCTCTAATGGCAGCTAGTACTGACTATCTGTCATGTGCTTAATGGCCAGTTTTACATCTTCTAGGGAAGTATCTACTCCAATCCTTTCCCCACTTTTAAATTAGGTCATTATAAAAATCACTAGTTTTGGTGGTTCTTTATATATTCTAATCTAGGCACTTTATTGCCTCCATTTGTAAATATTTTCTCCTAATCTTGGGGACTTCAATAAAATTAAACATAAAGCAGCAGCAATTGATTAGATATCAGAGACTTTAAATAAAGAAAATTAAATAGAAATGAAGTCACACTCTTGCATTCATTCACTCACTCTTCAACAAATACTGCTGTTTTGTTAGGAAAGAGCCTGAGTATCCAATTTACATTGGATTTATGCTATGGTTTTTTTGTTTGTTTTTAAACAATTTGCCTACAGTGTTTTCTTTTAAACTAGCCAAATAAGTAATTTATAGCCCACACAGAGTGCATAGAGTCTTTTCTAAAGAATCTATTTCTGTGTCTCTAACCACACTAGATGAACCCTTACCTCATCATTCCAGAATCTTTCATGATTGTACAGTACAACAATCACCTCCCTACTCAACAGTATGAAAAATGCTATTTTGATGTATTAACACATCTATGTTTTAAATCTGTTACTTGGTAGCTACATATTCCACTTATACTTTAGCAGATAAAACAGGCTCTCACGTTCAAAGTCAGAATTCCATTTAGCAAGCCTCAAAATGTTTATGTACATAAAAGCAGACATTTGTGCAGTAGGACACCACACAACTATAGAAAGTCTACGAGGAAAAACTCCAAAGTTCTGTATATTTCAAATATTTAAAGATCCCTTTTTTCATCTTTACCCATACTTCAGTATGGCAATTTCTCCTGACAAGTTGCCTTAGTGCTCTTACTGTCAATGGAGAACACTCATCAAAAGGACACACTGACATTATTTAGCACATGCAGATTTAAACAGTCTGCCAGACAGCAGCTGCTATGTGAAGCACACCCCAGATTATCAGCGTCAGGTATCTGGTAAGCTGTTATTTCTGGCCCGAGTGGATTTCTAAAAACACACTTTCCTCTCATGACTTTTCCAGTCAGTGCTTAAGGATCTACAAATTACAAACATAGGAGACCCTCCCAGCAGAGACATGAGATAAAATCAGAAAAGATGGAATACATTCCACATTCTTAAAACCTGGCCAACCATTGGTGGGGGGATCCCTTTAAAATAGTCTAATGACCATGAAGGAAATAATGAAGGAGATAAGGAGGGAGAAATGGCCAACTGCTTTGTATGTGACCATGTATGTTACAGCTGATACAGACAATAGGAGTCATAAAATTCCTTACCAAATTTGGTGACAGAAGAGACTGGAAGTGAAAAAGAACACCTGCATTTGCAATCTGGTCCAGCCACCTTCTGCTGGCTTCCCAAGTCTCCATTTCATTTTCCTTGCTGTTGTCAAACATCTGGTTTAAGGCAGCCATGAGCTGCTCAGAGAAGGCACAGACAGTGGCCACAAGACTTTGACAGAAAACCATGTCTCTTCGGAGCTGGGTTTCACTATCTGTGATTGAAAAGAACACAAAGGAAGCTTTCAAATATCCAATATTATAATTAAAATATTCCTTTATTAGTTTGAACTGCATGAGTATTCTTCTTTGGCAGATCAAAAGGATTGAATATGCTTATTCCATAAGGCTTATTAATTTAACTAATAATGTATGGTAGATGTCTCCTTCCAATAATTCTACACCATGGGCCCTATGCTGCTAGACATTTGGCCATTCAACAACTGTCTACTGAAGGAGTGAACAGAAAAAATAAGGCATGGGTGCTCACAAATGAATGGAAACACATCAGTTGATCGTTTGGCTATTTTGAGCAGAGAACAGATGACTTGCTTGTGTGAACTTCAAAACACACTTAATCGACAATGTAAATGGAGAGTTTTCCAAGTAGCTTTTTAAAAAGTTATCATTTCACAATGAATAACAAACTTAGAAAACTCAGTCACATCAAGTCACTTGATAAATAATCCAGTTGACATTCATAGCTCTTCAATGTCCCATTCCCCTGCTTTCATCCCACAGTGCAGCATAGTTTTTAGAGTTGTGAAACCATAACAAAAAAAAAAAAGAAGTGTGGGTGCACAGACCTGTACTGAGCCATGCAGTGAAGCTCAGTACCCCTCAAACATTAAGTGCCTTGCTAAATGGCTTTATAGCCCATATTTTGTTTCTATGCCTCTTTAGTCGGAAGGATAATCCAGTGTTCAACAGTCAATGCACTAAAAGATTGGACCTCTTTGAACTATTGAAATATTAAAAATTGTGAAATTTTCTCTGTCCCAGAAAACATGGTGAACTTATTTCTGTCATCATAGACCCCAAGCATCTCTCTCTTTCTAAGAAGGATAATTGATAGCAATGTGAGAGTCTGTTTCCCATTGGATCATCAGTGCCTCAAGACCAGAAGTGGTATATCACCTGAATGATACCACAGACTTCAGAGGCAACTAATGAACATTCAGCTAGTGTCTTATGTCCCAGGATTTGGAGCTGGTTGTGTAACTTGGCAGGAGAGTGCTTTGAGGACATGGACCAAAATAAAAAAGGACTTTGGGTCCAACCCTCAGTACTGAAAACAACAACAAAAACAAAAAAAGAAAGAAAGAAAAAAAACTGAGACAAGATTCATTTCTGCTTCCTACATTCTTAGGTCTCTAATAAAGACAAACAGGATTTTAAAAACAAAGCAGCTCTTAACAAAGTGCAATCTAATAGACTTAATGCTGCAACTACTCTTTTCTTAGCACCTAAAAATGCTTGGCACTGAATGGGAACCTGGTTGTGATACTCAGCAGAGAAAGAACAGCATGATAAAGTAACAAACCAGAATTGGTTTCTTGCAAGCAAAAACATATACTATTTTCCTTTAGATTATGTAATCATTCAAAATTCCCCAGTGTCCTTCTATACCAAAGCACTTCTCACTTCTACATCTTATAAAAAATAAAAATAAAAAAGAAGAACTTCAGCAAGCATCTTCACAGCTGTGCCCAGATTCTAGCAAAAGAATGGCTTTGCATGACAGCTTGCTAATTATTTTGGAAGAGTAAGATTTTTTTCTTGTGGTAGGAATACATTTGAAAAAAAAATGGCTTTTTGTTCCTATAAAAAGATTCAATTTCCTTTTAATACTTCAGTTCCTACTATACTCATCTTCTATAAACACCTAACAAATTCAATACTTCATGTAATCTCAGCTATTTACAAGTTTAGGTGCTTTAATTTACTGCTCAAAAAAAAAAGGGAACACAGAAAAGGACAGAGAGCTACACAGAAATATTGATGGGCATCATACTCACACAGAGATGGTAGGGGGAAAGGGAAACAAGCAGAGATGAAAACAAAGACTTCCCAGACTAGGTATGGTAGTAATGCTACAGCTGGTCAATAGCTGTCTAAAGAAGGGGGAGCCATCTCCTCTTCAGATGAGCTCCCACATAGGTTATCCAATACCAAGTGGTCAGCCATGGGTACATGAGAGGGTGAGGCCTTCCATGGGGAATCTTCAGAGTCTGACATATCATCTGGAGCAGGGCCTAGACCCTCTGCCATGTGTGTAGGCTGAGAGAGTATCCCTCTATGTGGAATGGGCTCCTGAAGTCCATTTGAATACTAGGGATAAATACTGTTCTACTATCAGAGGCCCCATAGATTGCCCAGTCTTCCAAACTGACATCCTCGTTTGGGGGGTCTGGTGTAATTGCAATATTTTTTTTTGAGACTCTTATCTTCAAAAGGAAAATCCCAAGACAGGTATGGCAGCATTTCCCAGATATTCAAATGGTTGAAGCTGTAGGATCACTTCAACTTAAGAGTTCAAGGCCACTTGGACAACTGAGTGAGAAGCTAGCTCTTAAATCTTAAAAATAAATAAATAAATAAGGCACAAGCCAATAAAGGACCTGTCTCCACTGCTGCACTGGAAGCTGCCTCTAGGTGCCATGGTGTGGAGACAATGCTGAGCTCTTACATGCTTCCTCAATATCTACTTCCTGATTGCTGGCTTTAGGAGTATGTGCCATCACACCATTTTAGGGAGGCAACCAAGGGCTTCCTGGCTGTTAGATGAACATTCTACCAATGGAGCTACATCCTCAGACCATCACTCGTTCTTGCACCACCTGTTCAATGAACAATTTTGACAGCTATCACTTTAGGTATTTGTTGATGATAAAAGTAAGTAGTGCTTGCTTTGAGGAAGCTAATGACCTACCATATTTAACGTAGAATTTGATCAAATGTTTAATTGTCCTTTGGTATCATTGCTAATTATGTTGGGTGCCTACTAAATTCACAGTAGAAGTGCTTTAATGTAAGATCTGTAAAATGTTTACATAATTCCAGGGCATCATAAACAATTAGATGGTTTCATGATAAAACTCATATCCAAACACCAACTATTCCCTTTACCATGACCTACACAGTTTCTCCTTGTTTTGTTGATGGGAAATACTTGTGTGCAAGCCAGGAGAGGTCTGAATCTCTCTCTGATGCTCCCCCTTACTACCTCCCAAATGCTGTGATTGCTTGCCTATGCTCCAATGCTCAGCTTCCTATTTCTCTTACTTATTAGATGATTTTAAAATGTGTTTATATGTATTTTCATATGTACTTAGAGTAAAAAATGAGCTTAAGTTTTTGTGCTCTTATTAAAACCCTTAAATATATTTAAAAAATCTTTCTGGTATTTTAGAGAAAGAAGATGTTAGAGCCCCATTTATCTCTCCAAGTGGCAGAAAGTATTAATTTCCTATTTTAAGACATTTATGATCCTGGCCACATTGCTTCAGATGGTAAAACTAGGGCAAGACATTACCTGAGTATTCAAGGAGAGCCAGTAGTATCCGACACTTCACCTCTGCAGAGAAAGAAAGCACATGTATTAATTGTCCACTCTACTTCTGCAACACACATGACATTGTATCCTGGTAGTAAAAATTACTACGGTCTTCTTATATTAGGTAATCATAAAATGTCATTTACTTGACATTCCTCTGTTGCCCATCTGCTTAGATAAATGCTAATAATTGTTCAACATGTTAGAATGTCTTTGAATTACACAATAGAACAACATTCAAATACCATCCAATTCTAGGTAATCCTTGGCTACTTTAGCCTGTTTGCTATTGCCTTACATACGGATTATAAATCTGTGTTGCTAAGCTGCAAAAATAATACTTGCTACTATGAATAAAATTTTTCTATAAAATGCATGAATGTACATTAGTATACTCTACTATTCCATCCCACACATGACCAACCACAAATATTTGACAAGTATATATTAATTTCGTACTTATCACTGTATCCATTGGCTTCCAATAGCAAAGAGTTCCTTTTTTGTAATCAAGTTTATGGGATGGAAAAAAAGGGTTACAAATCACCTTGTTCTATGTATTATAGGTGTCAAAGAAAGGGGTTGAACTAGCTGATCAAAAAGGCAGACAATACTTCAAAGGAGTTTACAAACAAGGCTGCAAAAACAAAAGGATTTCAGAGGCAAGAAAACACATGCAACTGGGAACCAATTTGCTATACTCTAGGTTTGTGGCATTAGAAAACTTAATGATTGCTTTTAGTCTCAGCTCATTCATAGGTGATAATATATACTTTATCTATATAATGGCCACTGTAAGAAAAATGAATATATGTAAGATCTTTGCAAGTTGTTTAAAGTGCTGTATATACACCAAGTACTATTACTGCAACTTTGAAGCTAATATAGAATCTACAATGACAAAATACTTCATAGAAACTTAAGTTTAGACCACCAGGGGGAAGGAACATACGTGGAAATAGTGCCAGCAAAGAAATATATCAGAAAATGAACAACATAACTAATTATCTCATTAAGACACTAGGACTGAACCACAATTATGAAGTTGAAGTGAAATAGCTTATAACATTAGATGGTGAGTTTAGATACATCTGAGAGAAAAATCACTCCCAGGGTCTGGGGTAGAAAAATGGACCATGAACAAGATATTTAAAATAAAATCTAGTAATGGTGTGTACAAATCAGAAAACATGGAGAGAATGATAAAAATTATCAGCATTATAAAGGCAAGGTAAATAAAATGTGAAAAAATATGCCTTACAATTTTGAGACACATACAGACAAAAAAGAAAACAAAAAAAGATTTTGGGGGGTAGTTCTTTAAAAGAACATCATTTTTGTTTTTTTTTTTGTTTTTTTTGTTGTTGTTTTTGGTTTTTAGAGACAGGGTTTGCGAGTTCCAGGACAGCCTCCAAAGCAATACAAAGAACAACAGTTTTAAAGGGGGGGAAAAGAGGAGAAAATGTTATCACTTACAAATCATGTGAAACACCCCACCCTGGAGGGAGCACTCATTAAATTCACAAGAAACTTAGCAGATTCAGAAAGCTCAGGAAACTTAGAAGACTCACTAACCCTCCCATTGGTTGTGCTCCCAGTAAACAATTGCAAAGGCAAGGAGAGTTTTCAATGATGTGGCTGCCTGCAAGTTGTACAAGGGATGCACACAGTGATGCAGCCGTCTTGAGTTGTCACACATGCTGGGGTGGATTTTCTGGTGATGCACTCATACACCTGTAAATCACCCTCATTCCTGTGAGTTACCCCTCATCCATGTATCTGTGCATTACCTATATTCCTGTAAGTTAGCCCTCACCCATGCCACTATAAGTAGCCCTGAAAAACTCATTGGTTCACCAAGCTGGTTTGAATGGAATATTTCTTTGGTCTGTCATTGCACTATCTGAGGTGAAGGGGCATTTCTTTGTTTCTTCCCAGGAAAAGTCGTGTAACACAAATTAAGCATAAATTTAAGGGAGTGGTGGAATCAAGTAAATATATCTGAAGTTAGCTGGTAACATGAGACTATGCTTAGCTGAAAGATTCAGCAGGAAACAGTTACCACTTTGATGACATCTTTACTCAATCAGTTCCCCACTGAGAAGGCAACCTTCTCTTATCTTCTCCCCCAGTTCAGTATGCTTCGTATGGATGAGAAAATAGTCATCTAAAACTGGAATGGCACTGTAGCAATCCTTCTTATACAAAGGCTATAGAGTAATGATGTTTTGATATCATATTCGGTATAAATTTTAAATCAGACATCAGGAAACATGAGAAATGGTTGGAGCACTCCATTGACATATGTGAAACACAAATTTCTAGCCAAGTGTCAATAGTTAAATTTTTACTTATTCGTATCCATGAAACTACATCTAATACAATGCACTCTACAGTTTCAAAAGTAGGATGAAAATTAGATTAAACCAAGTGGAACAAAGTGGTAAAGAACTGGGGAGGTTACCTGAGGATATTCCACATTGTGATAACTGATTTAAAAATAATGGCAGCCTACCCTCTCCCTGGGACAGCCCAGTAAGCTGAAACAGTGGATGGCAAATAAACTGATTTTTAAAGATTCACTTAACACACTGACAACCTGGCTTTTCACCCAGAGTAACTGTCTCTCAAATGAACCTAGAAAAATAGCTAGAACTTAAAAAGTCTGCAAAAAGGCTTTACCACACCACTGACTAAAATATTCTTAGGATGTGTAGCTAGACTAAACCAGCTACTGGAGTCTTATGACCAAGGGTGGTACCACTGGTCACAGCATCAATCAGTCAAAGGAACAAAGAAATTATAAACCAACCTTTGTAAATATCTATCAACTCTATGGCTTCAAAATGTGCTCTTGAGGAACAAGGAGGATAAAAACATACTGATATAATACTGTAAGATTTTAAAAATTTTTGTATTGAGTATTTTATTTATACTAGAAATGGGTATATCAAAAATGAAATATTTTTACCAAAAATTAGTAAAACAAAGTTTCAGGAATATGCCCATTTCTAATCAATAGTGTACTTATTTGAAAGAATACAGTTATATCTATCTATTTTTATCATTATCAAAACCTCAAAACATGGTGAGATCATCTATATGAATTTACAACTTCTGGGAGCATTATGCTACTGACAGTTAACTCTTCTGAGAATATATGGCTTCCACTCCTTAAAACATGTGCTTCAATTCCCTAAAGTGTCTTTAAAACCCATTCCTTTTTAAAATATTCATTATTTGGGACAGTTTTGATTCAGCATTTTCATCAAATTGGATATTGTAAGTGTCACAGGAAGCCACAGTATTAAGCCATAAAATTAAAATATAGTCAAGAAATCCAGTTACAAATAACAAACACTTCAAAATTGAATAGAATCTGTTATTTATCTGGGGAAGGGGGCTTCTCTCCATCCATCTAAATGTCCTATTTAGTCAATTCAATGTTCAAAGCTACTACATTTGAGTGTATTTCTAATTTATACTAAAGTTGGAGTCACTAGAAGTATGCTAGAATCTTGCTGAATATCATTTATTATGGCTAAGTGACAAAAATGGCTAAGAAATAAAACTATAAGCACAGAAAGGATGTAGGCTGGACACACTTCTCAAAGTTAGGGGTGTCAGTAATTGGGGGCAAGAGATCCTTGGCTATGATAGACTGTCCTACTTACTGTAGTAGTTTTAGCAGCATCTCTGATCCCTACCCATGGGGTACCAGTAGGAAGCACACTTGCAGCTGTGACTATCAAAAACATCTCCAGACATTCAGTCATTACCCTAATCTCTAAATTAGAGGTTGTGACAATTTCATGATGCCATGCAAATAATGTCATGGCAGCCAGTGACCATCAGCCAAGGCCAAAACTTTAAAAACAAGTGATGCAACCTATAAAGTTAATTGGATCCCCACACATATATACAATAGACATTTTAGGCTTCCTCTAAAAATAAGCTTCATGTATTTTTGTTAATTCCTTACAACTTTCTCATTTTATTCTAAGTTCCAAAGTTTTCAGCTCACATTGTTTCATTTGTCTATGCACGAGTCCTATTTTGTTCTCTCAGAATACTCTCTGTGATACAGTCTGAAGTGTTTGTAGGCTTATTCCTTCTCTATCTCCTTGTTCCTCACCCACTGCATTCCTTTCATTTTATTCAGAATGGAATCACTGCATAAAGTAATGGGGGCATTACCACACTTCTGCTTTTACCAGCTTTCTAAGGGATTATTGCTGATATCAGGCAATGTTCTTTGCTTTTCATACTGACCTTCGACAAATTTTCTAATATTCTGTGCAAGAGCCCGGACGCTGCTGGGAAGATTCCAAGGATCCTGCTTGAGGTGAAGCCTTAATCTTTTTGGACAACTCAGCTTTGCCTCCATTTCCTGTTGAAATTCTAAACAGATACAGAAAATCTCTCATAAATCACAACCAATCCTCAGCCAATCCCACTGGCTTCAGAATTTGCTTGTTTTGGTCCATTTGGACCATTCTAGAACAGAGTTAATAATTTCTTTAGTGAAGTTACAACAGAAAGTGAATTAAATCTAAAAATCAAAACTCAATGTTATTTTCTTGTATGGATTCCACCCAGGAAGAAGATATAGGAGGCAACTGTATTGTAAATACCAAAAAAGAGATTTGAGAAGAATACAGTTCTGAGCTGTACCTGCTGATTCCACACTCCTGAGGCAGGTAGATTTTACTCTACTGCAAAAGCAACGTAAGTCTTTTGTGTTTTTAACTCATGCATTTTTGGTTTTTCCCTAAGTTATCAAGTGTTTTAAACTTTCAAAGATACATGAAAACTTTATAAAAGATAGCATACTGATTTTTTATATTTTTGCATATGATTCAAACAAAAGTGGAGTTTGGAGAGTTACAAAACAAAAGCAACAGAAAATTTTCTTCTTCTGCAATATTTTTGCTTTAGAACTCTATTGCCTATTGTATGCTCTCTTCTAGTATTTATTTCAAACGTACCTTGTAATCCTCGACCTGGTGTAAGATACTTGGTTTGGTCAAAGGCCCTTACAACAGCTTGCCCTTTCAAGAGGTTGGTTATGGAATCCATCTATCAAGGGTAGATTTCTGAGTGTTATAGACATACATAATATATACGGATATATGAGTATATATTTATATACATGTGCATGAATATATCTTATAAAATACTTTTCTTAATGTTTTTGAAAACATTTACTTCATAAAAGAAAGTGAAAGTTCAGAACTTAAAAAATTACTTTCAAAGTGCTAAAAACTTCAGTACTGCAAAATTTTTACTATGATCATAAAACATTTTGCAAAAGTGAAGCCCAAATATGAACGGCCAGAGAATTGTGCAGTTTTTGAAAATAATAATAACATTAAGCAAGGTGCCAGGAAACATTAAGTCAAGCCACAAATAGTCAAGACGGTTTGTTCTATGTATGTAGTTCTTTTTAGTTTGCCATATAGTTTTCTATAAAATACTATATTCACAAGCACCCTTTAGCTTAGTCACCTCTTTTAAAGAAAAGATGGCCAAGAGACCAAATACATTCTCCTTTCTAGCTCTTTACCTTACATCTCAAACACTTCTGACCTTTAAACTCCACAAAAGACCCTCAACTGCCCAATCACACCTGGCTGAAAAGCTGCTCCAGGCAACTGTGTATCTTATCCTGTTTATCATGAGATATTCGGACGCTGATAGGGAGCTCATCACCTATATGAAACAAACAAACAAAAAGATAAGCCAAAAACCTTCACCTTATTTTTAACTTGTTAAATTATTCTCTTATTTGATAAAATACGAGCAATTAAAAATGAGCTCTTATCCCACATCAGAAAAGGAATTGTATGAGGTCTCACATAGCAGAAAAGTCAGCTGAAACATGTTGCTGAAACAGTCCAGATCCACACCCTTTGTGGGAAGCATAAAGCATATAGCATCAATATGTGTTTTCCTGATATCCCTCTCCCAGTTGACTAAATATAAGGTTCCCTTGGGTGTACATGCCTTCTAAAAAACATCCTCAGGCTGAAGTGACTTCTCACACCTAACCTAAGCATCCATGTCTAGTGCTTTTGGTAAAAATTTATTTCCAGTGTACCTATAATACTTCACAATGAACAAGATCAAAAGCCATACATTAAAAAACACTTTTAAATGCACTCTTCATATAATTGGCATTCCGAAACTAGCTTTATCAGTCACAATGCAATATGGATGGCCACTGAGAATGACTAATAAAACTGAAAATGCATGTGGATCAAAGAAATTAATCCCCTTCTTACAGGCACCTGTGATGTTACTGACATCAAAGAGCACAGAGAGTCTACCACACACACCTGAGTCCATCTCATCACTGTGGAAGTAGGAACTGCACTGGCTGCTGCAGATACTCGTGAAGGAGGCAATGGAATTCCTGTTGCTATTGCAGTCACTGCAAAAAAAAAGAGCCATTTGTTGCTTGAAGAACACATTTGCCCAGGTTTATACACAGTGTGATGGCAAGAAAGAGCAGTGAAAGCCAAATATGAGCAGAACACAGGGATATAGGAGAGAATGCCATAATGAAAGTCACTGCTTTGTGTGCTAATCAAAATTACCATAAAAAGAATGCTTTCATGCTCTTGCTATTTCTTATCACATAAAGGTATGTCATATATAGTTACCAGTGTGTTCTTTATAACATTATGAGAAAAAGAAACCTGTCCAACTCATTTTTTCCAAGTTTTTAAAAGTACTCTTTTAAATTCAAACATTTCAAATTTTCTTGTCATATAATTGATTCCTAAGTGATTTTTTTAAAATATCTGGTTATAAAACTACAGTTTGGAAACCAGCATATGACTGAACCAGGACCCCTGCATGTGGGTGTCAGTTAGGAGGCCTGAGCAGGCTGTGGGGACCCTGGTAATGGAACAACATTTATACCTAGTATACGAATGGACATTGGGAGCCTATTCCCCGTGGAGGGATACTCTCTCAGCCTAGTCATGTGGGGAAGGGTCTAGGCCCTGCCCCAAATGATGTGACAGACTTTGATGATCTCCCAAAGAAGGCCTCACCCTCCCTGGGGAGTGGATGAGGGATGGAATGGGGGTCAGTGGGGGACATGTAAGGATGGGAGGGAGAGGGGACTGGGATTGATATATAAAATAATAGTTTCTAATTTAAATTTTAAAAAGGATAAAATAACTAGGAGTCATCCCCCATAAGTCTTCCATATCTGTTTAATAACAATTGTTAGAAAAGTTTCTCACAAACTCTGTTTTATTACTTTTCTCTTTCCTTTCTCGTCATTTATATTACAACTTGCTGGGGACATGTGGAGGCCCCCACAGCAGCGACCTCATCTGTCTCCATGGACAACACATCACTGGAAAGTACCAAAAATGAAGAATATCTATGAAAAGAATGTTTTAGATGATGTGTGATTATGAGGATAATTCATATTTTACAAATAGTGCCAGAGGACTGGATTTTAAGTCTACATTTAAAATTTCTTTTGTAGTTCAGAGGGAGATTGTGGGGGTCATTTTAACTATAACTATCTGATAACTAGGATGTGAGGTAGTAGGTAGGTATTTTTAGAAATGTAATTGGCCACTGGAGAGAAACCACAGACTCCTATTATGGAGCAAGCTGGTACTTTCAAAGCTAAAAGTAAACGAAATAGTAAAGCTGTTTAATTCATTATGAAATCTCCAAGAATAATTACCTTTGATGGGTTGTTAAAATCCTCTTTGGAAAATAAAAATCAGGATGGCAGACTGATTAAGCAAGAAGCCATGAAGTGAGACCCCTGGTTGCCAAGGTGAATATCTATCCTAACACCATGGGCCTATGCTCTCTCATGTATTAATTGGAGCTATATCAGTATCTGCCACTCCTCATGGTTGTGGGAGATTATTTTAAATTCTTCTGTTAAAACTATGCTTTTAAAGAACTGTCCATGACTACACTGAGATAACCCTACCTAATGAGAGTAATTTTGATACAATTAACACTGACACATTTTTTTCATTGAAAATACTGTGAACAAGGGTGAACATTTTTCCTTCGGGTAATACAAGTGAAACCAGAGTTGTTAAAGCTGGACACACAATATATTTGGCTAGTTGCAAAAGTGCTCAAGTGAGAATTCTGGAGACAAGGTTTGGGGGAGAAAAGCACTTCTGGTGATGGAACTCTTCAAAGGATCCCTTTAGCAGGAAGGGGAGCTGGATGAACTGTGTTTCCCCAAATTCTGAAGTTGCAATCTAACACTCGGTTCCTCAAAATGTGACCAAATTTAAGGAGGTGGTCTTTGTAAGGTCATTAGGATGTGTTCTTAATCCAATATGACTACTGTCCTATAAGAAGGGGATCTATGAGAGGTTACATGAGGAGACACCATGGGAAGATGACAATTTCCACGTGAAGGACTGATGCCTGGAGTATGCCCTTCCTTCACAGTCCTCAGAAGGAACCAACACAGTCAACATCTTGGTCAGGCTTCCAGGTTCCAGAAAGCTATGTGACAAATTCTATTATTCAAGTCAGCCAGTCGGGGGTACTTTATGCTATCACTCCTGGATAACTACTACAGAAATAGCCCCTAGAGGAAACAAATACAAAGCTGGACATGGAAGAGATATCATATACATACATACATACATACATACATACATACATACATACATACATACATACGGGAATCAGGGCAAAAAGAACAGCTCGTTGCTAGCTAGTAATCCATAATCAAAAGGACATTTTGAACAATTGCTATTACATGGTTGCACAACTAGCCTGTAAGAACAACTCTCCTACAAATAGGGACACACTGCTGCAGGGGAAAAAATGCTTGTTTCAAATAATCCAGATCATTAATGAGAACAACTTTAAAGACAATGCTGTCCTAATTGAACTGGTGGTCATTTTGAAACAGCAATAAACAAAATCAACCCTCAACATTTTTCAGGACTTTTGAAGAAAATATAAAGTCTCATTTGTGCTTATTGCTGAAATGAGACCAAGGAGCAGCTCACCTGTAAGAGTCTCTGTTGCTGACGGTGTCGTGACCTGAATCCTCTTGCTCATCTCCTGCTACATTGAAGCAAACACGTTTGCTGTTTCTCTCCCCCTTCTCATTGTCACTGTCGGTTGGTAGCACACACTCTGCTGTCTTACGCTCCAGCTTAGGAGAATATGTTATTGAAGACAGAAGGCTGCAATGTGACATTTTTAAAGAACATAAGTGCATGTTTTGAAACTAGCTCAAACAGATAATGCTTTTATTTGTTAAATGTGATAGGCTTACAAATATTTCCAGAATGCTACTGTGTTTCCTGCCAAACAAATAGTGATTGTGTAAAGACTGTGTCATAGAACATTTGGTTTTGCTGCATCGAAGCAACATAGCAGCATACAATGAGACCAGGCGGCGGTAATCAAACCCTGCCTCAGCCACCTGAGCTTTCTTATCAGAAACAGTCATGGTGGAATGGAATAAGAAGTACCTAGCCCCCATGGCTGCATTGGGAATAGAATGGGGGTAACATTATGGTACTTAACATTTGTATTCCCTCTTGTCATTAGTACCACTAACATTACAGTGTAGTTATTTCCTCTATATTGTAATAGTCCCTTGGGGGAGGGGGAATCCTAAGGCTCAGCAGATTAAGGAAACTGAACAGGTTCAGGAATGTCTCCCAAGTTAACAATTCACAAGACCAGCAAAGGATACTTGGAGAGAGGATACTCTTTGATCGAGCTGTTTTCAAGCTGTTTGTGGAGTTCCATGGATACAGCTTTTGTGAGTCATCACCCCATGCTAGGATGGGCCTTTCAATGAAGCAGCTTGAGTCACCCATGCTCCTCTAAGCAACTTTTATTCACACACATACCCCACAAGCAGTACCAATAAATTCATTCTTTATCCAAGCTAGACTTGAGTGGAATCAATCCTTTGGTCTGGCATTGTTGCCATAGTGTGAGTTCAGACGGTGGTTCCTACCGCACCAGAAAAAGTTATGCAAGGAATGAACTCCAAACATTAACCACACTTTAATACCTTCCCTGGCTCATCCTCCTACTATAAAGACCAAGCTACCCTCTGACTTTCACCTCCAGCATTACCTATGAGACAGGGAAAATCGACACCATTAATCTCTACACTCTATTCTAACAGCCAGGACCACTGGATGTACTGACTTAAAGATACTAAGCAGGGTGACCATCAATCTAAGGCTTAAAGGAGGCAGGGGTCACCTGCATTGACAATCCACAAAGTTGCCCAATCAAAAAGTTTTCTTCAACTGAGCTCAAGGGTATAGTGCCCTGAGCTGGTGTAAGACCTGATGAAAACTAAGTAGTTACAATTCTAAGGCTGGAAATCTGACTATGTGGTGCTTCTGTTAGAACCACCTAACTCAAAATTACAGAAATGTAACTTGGATTTTATTATCAAACAGCATGGTGCAAACTTGCAAGAAGAATTTAAGCTATACTTGAACTAATGGCATATAATCACAATCACACTTATAAAATACCTATGACACTCAGCTCCAACCAGCTGCACATTATATGTATTCATAACAACACAAACACTTATTTGGGGTATTTCAAGATAACAATGTCCATAGCTCTTATACATATTTTACATATGACAGCAAAACCAATGTTGTACATTGAGTAAATCCACAGGAAGGGATTTCACTGATTAAAAACATGTTTTGTTCTTAGTACTGTAAGTGTATTATGCAAAACACACACACACACACACACACACACACACACACACACACGCACCTCTGCCTTCTTGGTGTGTCAATTTCACTGGGAGGAAGTAACAAACAGCAAGCTTTATAGTCCACCCAATGGGGACAAACGCAAAGTTCTAGAAAATAAATAGAAGAAAGGATGGAACCAGGCTTGGGTGTGGTTTCAATTTCACATAGTTTGGTTGGGGAAGTTTTCTCCATGAGGTGCTACCTGAAAAACGTGTGGCATTTTTAGTTGTTAGACACCAGTGACAACTGGAGAATTCCATTGCTCAAGACTCTGTGAACATTTTCAGTAGCTCAAAGTGATGAATTGTCTTAAAGACAGTTTCTCTATTTTGAAAGATATTTCTAGGTCTTGTAAGACAGAACGTACATTTATTCATCCTTCCCTCCACAACACGAAAACATTAGACTAGCTCCAATTACCCAAGCTCCTACTGTAGAGACAGATGAATCCTGCATACCAAGAAGCAAAGGCATGCTGGAGTTCTCATCTTGCTGGGAGTCCTCTGTACTTGTGGGTATTTTAAATTAGAAGTCATGGGGCTGAGCACAAACCACTTTCTCACAGTCATAAGAATTGTATTCACATTTTAAACAGCTGCAATGTACTTGTACTGACCCTCTGGGAATGAGAGTTTAAGCTTACAAATAAAATGAATGATGGGGGGATCACATGCATAGTATTTCTAGATTCTGGGAAGCAACAATAAAGCACATATTTTTGTGTGTGGGCAAAGAATACTTTCCTTTGCTTTTGCTCACTGAGAACATGTATCTATCTATAAAGGTACAATTCATTAAATTCTGAGCAGAATCCTACTCTAGAACAGTTTCCTTTGACTTAAACATTGATTCATAACAACTTTTGTGCACACTGTAACTCTCTTACCTGTCTGTGTTTCATTATCACAGCATTTTTTGGTTATTATAGCAGACATGGTAAATATAGACCAGATATTAATTCACTTAAATCTAAATTCCACTTTACAAAGTAGGTATTAACTCTATTTTAGCTGGGGGACAGGGGATAAGAGTCATACTGTCACATACATACACTCTGCAAATTAAGCAGAACTTAATGTCTCTTGCATATGTCTTACAAACTGGAGAGGGTGGATGGTCACTAGTGTGCATATCAAAGTGAGAGTTACCTTCCTAGTCCTCTGAGGATGTGCGTATCTATGTAAATTGCTTTAACCAATGTAAGATGACTGGATGTGATGTGTGATACTCATAGTAAAATCCTATATGCCTATGTAAAACCACCCTATTCCTTTCTCTTGCATGACACCAGTAGCATTCTAGTTAAAGGGGAACCTGCCTGCCCCTCTGAGTGAGAACAATGGCCTAAGGTGGACATGAAGAGTGAGTAAAGAAACCTGTTTCTTGAAATCTATGAGATCTTTAGCATTCCTGTGAACAATATTGATGGTGGGAGGGGGACACAACACAAATATGTTGTGTGGAAACCAAATGTCAGAGGAAGGCTAGAGTGTCTACAGAGGAGGAGCTTCTACTTTCTCTCCATGGATCATTCTTATCCTGAATCATGAAAGTCCAAGTGGTTGGCTGGCCTTGCAGACCTTCTGAGAAGCAGGATCCACCAGGCAGAGCACCCTTATATAGGACTATAGTTGTCATTTTTCAGAGACAGAAAGAAAGCACTAAAGCTGGAATTCAGTGAGCTATGCTTGGAACTGATGATGCAGAAGCTAGCAGGCTAGAAAAATGACTTTGATACTGCCATTGGCTATCTGAATTTGTGTGTTCCATGTCTATGGACTCAATCAAACAACCATAGAGTTAAAATATTTCTAAAATGCATCCTACCTGAATTGCATATGTGTAACTTTTCCCAGTTATTATTCCCTAAAAGTACAGTATGATAACTATTTACTTAGAATTTATATGGTAGTAAATATTATAAGGAATCTAGAAGTGATTTAACATACAAAACGATAAGTGTGTTATATACAAATCCTATGCCTTTTTATGTAAGAAATGAGAGAACCTTGAGATTTATTTATCTGCTGAGAGCTTTGGATGCAATCTCCATTGGATACCAAGTGATAAATATCATTTAATTACAGTGTAATGCCATTTATGGTTTTAAGAGGGGGCCAGACAAATTGACCACATTGGATCTCTGCAGATTCTGCTGAATGCATAAAGTATCCAAGAGAAGTTCAGCTGGACAACTCTCTAGTGACACCAGTGAGGGATGATGGTGGCTTAGTCTAGAGTGACAAGCAGGGACATATTCTAAGGTATAACTAACATACCTAAATGAGGTAATATAAGAGGAGAAAAAAAGATAGACAAATCAGAGGTAATATTTGAATTCTGGCTTGGTAAACAGTTGAACAACACTTTACTGATGGGGGAAGTCCTTGCTAGATAAGGGGGTGCAAAGGGTTTAGTACAAGAAAATTACAATTCTGTCTTAAAACTATTTAAATTAGAAGTGATTTGGAGATGTCCTCCCACCCAGCTATCACAGCGAACTACAATAATGAAGTATATCAGGGACTAGAAAAAGACAATGTCCCCTCCACAGGAGCACTTGAAATGATTTTTGGGAAGGCATGCTTTTGTTTGTACATTTAGCAACAAAATGCCTCAAATATAATTCTACCAACAACACTGCAACCTCAGTTACCAACTTCCCTGTTGTATCACTCAAACTTGGGATGTCTGGTACTTATAAAACAAGGTTTGTTCTCCAGGTTCCCATCTTCACCTTGCACTGCCCATACTCCCTCCATTTGCTCTAGGCTAGGGAGAATGCACAGATTCTCTATTTTAAACTCCCATCAAGAATTTTGGACCACCTATGAATTGTTTTTCCTCTCATTTATATACAAATGTAATTAACCACTAACAACTCAGTTAAAGGCAAAAATCAGTCAGCTTCCCTGTGAGAAACCATGAAGCTCTCATCAAACCAGTAGCATGCTCTTCTGTCATATCACTGCAAAGAAAATTTGTCTCATTTCAATCTATAGCTCTGAAACTAAGTAGAAAGATTAAGTAAAATGTCTATTAATAGAAAAAGTTTGACTTCTAGAAGTGATCAGGTGATAAGGTACCCCAACATCAAAGTAAGACAACACCAATGCCAGGTCTTGTAGGAATGAATAAGTTCTAGTAGGTCTGGCTATGGGATCTTACAAGGCAATTTCATTATTGCTATCACAGCATCTGTTTCTTCACTCTGACCAAGAATAATTATCACATGGAGAGAAAATGATCTGGTAACAGGCCTTTTAAATAACTTGTTAAAGTCTACTGCACAGTAGCATCATCTCTGAATTCTAAGGGCAATGGGGAACCCGGGCATTTGGACAACTGTATTGTTTCAAAGAGATTATACTGCAAATCAAATCATGTGGAAAATGTTTATATTTAGAATTAAATTACAGGCTGTTCATGAAGAAGAC